CCCCCCCCCCCCCAAAAAAAAAAAAAAAAAAAAAAAAAAAACTAATTTGAAACTCATCTATAATTGTCATCATATAATATCCAGCAACTTTGTACTATAAAGATATATTACATTTCTTGTTAGAATGATCCAAATATTATACTTGCAAAAAATCATATTTACTGTTCGGTCGCACTGTTACCACTAAGAGAATCGTTAAATATGAGATTAATTTAAATAAGAGATTATAATTTGTAAAATGTTTGTTAAAGATTACACTCGATAGTTTCTATCTACAAACCCTTCAACTATTATTCAAGTGAGATGCCAACAAAATCTTGATATAAAATAAATGCTTGCATTTAGCATTATAAATTGATTTCTGGTGTCCAGATATATTTAGAGGTCCATATGTGGCTATGCATAGAGGTCATATACCCATATATCTATGGTCATAACCTTCATTATGTTTCATCCCTTCACTTGTTTCATGTCAAGACATGTCAGACATGTACCGACTTAATTACGGCTTTGAAACCTTGGGCTTGGAAGGTCGTATGGCAACAGCAAAAAGTAAGTACACAGATACCAAGAGTTCTGCGTACCTACGTGGTACTTCGCTTAAAACAAAGATGTACCAGACCGTAATATTGGCGTACCTCTGGTACTTAAGTACGCGAATTTGTCGCACCCTGGAAATTAGTGACGGTTATCGCGTTGATTATTTGCATTAACAAATTACTGACGCTATTAACAAATTAAGACGGAGACTTTTAAATCTGTTAAAGAATACCAACCTGACATTGAAGAATTACAACAACTAGAAATCGTGTCAACCGAAGTAAGAACAGCCAACAATCAAGAACTTCTCTACTGTTGCTGTTATCGTCCACCCGATGCAGATCTTTCTTGGACAGATGCATTTAACACATTTTTAAACCACGCATGTGAGCGATATCAAAACATTGTAATTTCTGGCGACTTCAATTTCCCAAAAATTCAGTGGGACGAGATGGACAAAACGAATAGTGTTAACGATCTTCTCTTCGTGGAAATGTTAAATGATCACTTCCTATGCCAACTCAATAACACTCCTACACGCGGTAACAACGTACTAGATCTGGTGATTACAAGTGTCCCAAATCTTGTTCGCTTGACAGAAACTTTATCTCCGGAACAATCATCGGTCTTTACAGACCATGATGCTATTTCGTTCGATTTTACCGCTTTCATTAAAGCTCCACGAAAATCTGTTAGAACAGTCTACGACTACGCGAAAGGAGATTTAGATGGTCTACGCACTGCCCTACAGGCAACAGATCTATCTTCATTAGTATCAGATTCTGATAACATTGACAATGATTGGCAACGTTGGAAGAACACATTTCTTACCACAGTTTCTGCCTTTATACCCAAGAAGAAAATTAAAGGTCGAAATCCGCTACCATGGATTAACAGCGACATCCTTCATAAGATCAAAAAGGACTCAATTCGGCGGAAAATAAAAGTCAACCCTACCAGTTACTTGCAAGAAAAATACAAGAGCCTTCGTTCTGAAATCAAGAAATTGTTGCGTGAAAGCCGTGAGAACTATTTTGGTTCAATCGACAATAGCTTTAAAGATAACCCAAAGCGATTTTGGTCCGCATTAAAGCAAAGATCAAAGTCTTGTAGCATTCCTGATCGTATCTCCATGCCTCCGTCACCCGCTACTGCATTCTTGAATCATCCCGACCAGTCAAACCTCCCTTCCAGACCAATTGCTACAAACCCTAACGAAATAGCTGACTTCTTCAATACCTACTTCGCCTCCGTATTTACATCCGAAAACCTCGCTGTTCAACATCCTAACAGGACAGATCCAGTTTTAACTGAACTCAAAGTAACTGAGTTAGAGGTAGAAACTTTACTTAACTCCCTTGATACTAACAAAGCAACCGGATCGGACGAAATCCCAGCGAGACTTCTAAAAGAAACCGCCTCAATAATCACTCCCTCCATCTGCAAACTATTCAACAAATCATTGCAACAAGGAACGGTACCACAAGATTGGAAACTAGCGAACGTTGTTCCCGTTTATAGAAAGGTGACAAAGAATACACAGAGAATTACAGACCAATTTCTCTCCTGCCAATTATTTCGAAAGTTCTAGAACGGTACATTTTCATGAACATTCGACAACACTTTTCTGGGATAGTTTATGATCACCAGCACGGATTCCTCCAAGGAAAATCTTGTGTGACTAATTTGTTAGAAGCATTAGATTACATCGGCGCCTGTCTGGACAAGGGAGGGCAGGTAGATATGGTATACCTTGACATGTCAAAAGCGTTTGACCGAATCAACCATAAGCG